AAAAAAAAAAAAAAACAATCTTACAACATTTGACTAATCATTATATGTATATTTATATCAGAACAATAATATAGTTTTTCAGAACATATTGTATGACCAATGCTGTTAGGCATTCTACATATAGTCTATCATTTCTTTATCACAGACTGTAATTTAATACAGTTTTCCACATTTTACACAAATTGATGCTCACAGAGGTTAAGTTGTCCTACACTTAACTTGTCCTAAATTGTTAGGGCAAGTTAACTTGTCCTAAATTCCATACTGACTGTTCAAACTAATATTCAAACTCATGTCTGTGACTCCAAAATCTGCACTTTTTGTATTTTCAAAATGCCATGCCACCATGCACTACATTGCTTCCTTGATATAGGGGTTGTTTTGTTTCTGTAGATTTGGTCCAGCAAGTTAATTGTGCAACCAGACTTGGTTGACATTGTGGCAAGAGTATTACTCCTAAATTTTTAAATATACTACTTTAAAATGTAGGTGTTTGTGTTGTATTACATATTGATATCCCTCAAACTGGTTACTCAGATAAGCAAATACAGACATGTAAGATTGATCAAACAGTTATTGCACTACTTAGTTTGCTTAAGCTACATTAATCTTCTTTGTGCTTTTGAACCTATTAGACTAATTTCCAGTTCATGGCTTCTACACCTACTCTGAAATACTATTCCCTGAGTTTTATAAGATGTTCCCTTTACTCTGGATCCTACTGTCAGCATACATTCCCACTTCATTAAAAGGGTTCTAGGGCCAGGGATTTAGCTTAGTAGCACAGCACCTGCCTGGTAAGCATGAGGTTGTGAGTTCAATTCCTGGTACCAAAAAAAAAAAAAGATTCTAAGACCTAAGACCTATAACCATTAAAGAAGCATACTCTAGTTTTCAGGAAAAGTAAACATTGACTTCTTGGATGCCATTTTCTTATTTGGTATTACTGCATTTAGGGCTATCAAAGGAAGCTTTTAAGCCAGGCATGGTGGCGTGGTGGTGCACACATGTAATCCTGACATTTTTGGAGGCTGAGGCAGGAGGATTGCAAATCTGAGCCTAGCCTGGGCAACTTAGCTATGTCATGAGGCCATGTCTCAAAATAAAAAAACTCTTTAAAAGGACTGGGAATGTAGCTTAGTGCAGAGGCCCTGGGTTCAATTCCTAGTACCACAACAAGAAGAAGAAAAAGGAAACTTGTACATGTCTAGCGAACATATTTTGCTGTTCCATTCCTGAGCAGCTCTTGTCAGGAAGTTCTTGTAATTATAAGCTGTCTCCCTAATGAAGGCCTTATATATTTACTATTCTTTTCTCAAAAGTATTTAAATTAGAATTTGCTTAGTGAATAACATTTTTAATTAAAAGAAAAAACTGCCTAATATGGATTTATTGTTTTGTTTTGTTGTTTTATTTGTGAGACAGGGTCTTGCTATGTTGCCCAGGCTGGCTTCAAACTTCCTTCCCTCCCCACTCAGCCCTCTGAGTAACTGGGATGACAGGCATGTGCTACCACACCAGCTCTAATATGGATTTAAATAAGCCCTAAATTGTAGATCTATATTTCGTATTTGTCTCAACCGAAGTTACAAAGAATAAATCCTATCTGTGGTACTAAGCTTTCCAAAAATCCTCTTCTTTCCTTAATGTCTCATAACTCTATTTATTGTCTTAATTTGTTATAGTCATTAGATAACTTTGTTGACCCAACCAATATAAGGTTTGTAGAAGCAGGCACCTAATTTGAACATTTTTTAACACCTTTGAGCCAGTAGTGTTTATCCTGAGTCCACTAACACAGTTCATATGGTAAAACAGTACAATTTAAGAAGAACATCAATATTTTGGCTGTTAACTACATGAGCCTCTACACTGTGATAATACAAATGATTTCATGCTTTCCAGACCTTGATAAAATTGGAAAACAAACTTTCATTTAATAAATGCCCTTTACTGAAAAAAGAACTTTATAAACATGAATCTTTTATAGTGAAAGATTGGGAATTGGTATTTGTTAATGTCTGGTCTAGTTTTGGATAATCATGAGTATTAACAATATGATTGACTTGTTGATAAAAATAATGAATGTTTTCATTTCAGGGAATGTTGTGGGCAACTTGGGACATTCCTTCTTCAGTCAGAGTTTCCTTGGCAGTAAAGAACACGGTGGATTCTTGTATGTAACATCTACCTACCAGTCACTGCAGGATCTTGTACTCCCAACCCCACCTTATTTGTTTGGGATTCTCATCCAGAAATGGGAAACTCCTTGGGCTAAAGTGTTTCCCATTCGACTAATGTTGAGACTTGGAGCTGAATATCGACGTAAGTAGTTAAGAACACCTATTCGTACAGCGCCTGTTGATTCTGGGTGCAAAAAAAGAAATGGAAAAAAAAATCCATGTTATTCTAGGCTATATAACTAAAACATGGTAACTCAACCTCCTCTATTTGGTAATATAATTTAGCAGACTGAAATAGCGAGGCTCAATCTGACCAGCAGCCATCTACAAGGGAAAGGACTTAAAATATCAAATGAGGTTGGTGATTTTATGGTTCATTAGGAACAGTTATTTTGAGAAAAATTAATCTGAACTTAACAAATAACTTTATTTTTTATATTGTGTCTATTGTATATGATGAGCATGTTTATTATCAATTGGTTGAAAAATAGCTATGGGCAGTTATATTTTACTTAACCCAACAGTTCATTCAAGCCAGTGGTAGGGAGACCTTTCTCAGTAAGGTAGGCCACTGAAGGGGGCTTCTTAACCCATGTTTGTAGCAAGACAACTACTACAAGTTGTAGTGGTAATTTTTTTAAAAAGACATTAACAATTAAGTGCAAATTTTATTTTTAACTTCATGTGTTTGCCTGATTAAAAATTCCCTGATCCAAGAATCAGACCACTTGAGTAAGGTTCTCAACTCTGTATTATACTCAAGTTTTCTGATTGTCAGTTTCTTAAGTTCTTTGACTGTCAGTTTCTTTTATAAATGAGATTTTAATACTTGCCTTATATTTTAGGGGTTTTTTTTGTTTTGTTTTCTTGTTTTTGTTTTTTTTGGTACTGAGAATCAAACTCAGGACCTTGTGCTTGCCAGGCAGGTGCTGCATTGCCTTATATATTAGATTATGTATTAAAAAGATCAAATGAAAAAATAAATACATGAAAAGATCAAATGAAGTCATGAGTGCAGCATCATTTATAAACAACAGCACAGCATATGTTCTCCACAAATCAGTTTTCTTCTTTCACTCATTTAATTCTTCACTCAGTAAGAATTTAAGCAAGGGTTGCCATGTGTCATGAATCCTGGAAATTTAGAAATGGCTAAGACACAGATGTACTGTCTTGGGAATCTTTGTAAGGACCATATCCATAAATCATGATTATAATAGTATATTGTATTAAAACTCACGCTTAAGTTCTTTGGGAGCCCTAAAGATGAGCTCTTACTTGACCAAGCATAGGGGAGTTGGACAAAGGTGCTTCTGGATGGAACTCTGAAGGAGGCAAACAAATCAGCTAAGTGAAGCAGGGAAGGAACTGGTTGAATGCACAAGAAGCAACTTGTGTATTTTTGTGATTCGTACTGGCATTTCAAAGCATAGTTTGAGGAATGAGCCGGCTAGTATTATCACCTGGTATTTGGGTCTTTTAAAGAGAGTCCTCATTAGAAGATCTCTTAAACTTTTTGAGCATAGAAGAATTGAGAGGTACACTGTATAATTAAATACATGGTGAACGTCTAAATTTTAAAAGTACTTAATACAGTAAAAAATACATTGCTTTTAATCTTCTCAAAATAGTGCCCCTTGTTTCAAACACATTTATTCCATCATTCTTGCCACTTTCCAAAGTAGTTCTGGAAGTCCTTGTTCACGTCTGTAGTTGCACTGTCCCAGGTACCTCGATGGCCTGAATTGATTAAAGTTTACCTTTCAGGGTCATTTTAACTTTAAGGAGGAACCAGAAGTCACATGGTACCAGATCCACTAAATAAGGTAGATGAGGACACAGTATTTTTATAAGCCAGCATTTCCAGTAGATGGCACTCAGCAGCAAGATGCACTGTTTTTTTTAAAATCACACCTTGTAAAGACACTCAAAAGAGTATTTCTCCCAGAACTGCTTCAGAAAGTGGCCAGAATAATGAAATAAGTGTGTTCGGAGTAAGGGAGAGTAATTTGAGGGGGATTAGTAGCAATGTCTTTTACTGCAATAATTTTTTAAAAAATTTTTAAATATTCACTGTATTTTTATGTCACATAGTATATTTGGTTTCTAGATTGTAGCAATCCAGTGTGAAGAAGATTGCTTCATGAGACTTTATGGATCCTTTTTCTTCTTTTCTTCAGTACTGGGGATTAAACCCAGGGACCTGCTGCCACTGAGCTAATCCCAGAGTGAGCCACTTATTTATTAAGTGGACCCTCAAGTTATGATTGGCCTGACATATGAATGACTTGGGTTATGACTGAAATTTTAGCTTTAACTTATGACCAAAGTCCTGCATTATGGCCCGAATGCCAGCTGCTTGTACTTCCAGATGGTCTCAGATACAGATTTCATCCTTAAAGAGTTCTGGAAGGAAATTACAACATCCTTTCCTGAATGGGGTTAGTTGAGAAATCCTAGGCTAATGTCTCTCTAAGGACACTGAACTCTGCCTGTATACAGGGGAGAGTCTTTAAATGCTGTGTAGAGGAGTCTGAGCCTTCAGTTGACAACTTGAGTTACAACCAGCCCTTGAGAATGAATTGATTAAGTTCATAGGTCAATGGCCCATGGTATTTATGTTTTTTTGAGACAGGGTCTCATTATGTAGTTCAGGCTAGCCTTGAATTTACAGCAATCTTCCTACCTTAGCCTCCCAAGTGCTGGGATTACAGGTATGCACCACCACTCCCAGCTTGTGGGTCATTTTTGAAAAAGCTGTATCAGAAAGCTTACTCTGGTCATCAGAAGACTTACCTTACTCAAGAGTTCTCTGCTACCATGCTAAAAACTTTTTATGCTCTACGTTTGATATGTCATAATGAGCCATTGCAATTACATTTTGAAAATTATATTAGCCATGATACCTCTTTTCACAGAATTTTAAGCTGACAAACTTAGTTTGATCATTTCCATCTCTGTAGTTTATCCCTGCCCGCTGTTCAGTGTGAGATTTCGGAAGCCGTTGTTTGGAGAGACGGGGCATACCATCATGAATCTTCTTGCAGTAAGTTGAAAATTGTCGTTATTGTTGTTATTATTATTTTACTGGAGTTTGTATGGGAGAAAGAAGAGAAGGGTTTTATTATTTTGTTGGTAGCCCAACCCCTGCTACTTCAGGCAGGTAAAGATTTATCCTGGAGGAGAAGAAGAGAATATACATACTCTATGAAAAACATAGGAAGCTTCAGGGTGAAATACAGGATTCCAGTCTCTGAGTATATACACTTACTAGGTGTGTGACCTTGCAAAGTTATTGTGAAGGTTAGAGGTAGTATATAAATGTAACATCTAACCTTTTTGTCTTGTTTTCATTTTAAGATTGGTTTGCCCTGTATCTAAATAACTTATTCAGCCAAAGATTGGGCAGATTGTACTCAGATTCCTTAAACTAGTAAGGCTTTTTGTGTTGATGGATCTGTATATAGAACTGAGACATAAACTTCACTATTTTCCTGTCATTTGCTCTCTTGTGTCTCCTCTGTCAATCTATAGGGTCTAATTCTTTTGACAAAATCTGTGCTGCATATGTGCACAGCCTAAGGTCAATCTGGGATATTTGGAGTGTTTATGAAGCCTCCTGTCATGTCTTACCTCCCAGAACTCCTTATTAAACTCTTACTGTCTACATACACACTCCTAATCCCAAACAGGCTGGTGACCTTAGGTTAACACAGTATTGGCCACTGGGATTACTACATTTTATAGTACTCCAAGTCAAGTAAACTCTTTCAGGTAGCAAAGCATGTGGTTTTTATAAACTATTCTGCCCTGGTTGAGGTACTCACCTACCTCATAGAGCTTGAGGGGAGCCCTAGACAAGACAGTCACAGACTCTACTCATCTTACCTGAAATTCACTAGTTCTCATAAAAAATACTTTTCAATGTATTATGTATGTTTGATGTAATTTCAGAGTATTGAAATGGGTTTTGTTTTGTTTCATGGCACTAGAGCTCAAACCAGAGCTTTACACATCCTAGGCAAGAACTTTACCACTGAACTACATCCCCAGCCCTGAAGTAGGGTTTTGTTTTGTTTTGTTTTGTTTTGTTTTGTTTTGTTTTGTTTTGTTTTGTTGAGACAGTCTCTCGCTCTGTATTTCAGGCTGGCCTTGAACTAATTATGCAGCCCGCCTACATAATGTTAAGTGGTGGGAAAGCAGGGTAAACTTTCAAGTACCTGTTTAATGTTGGGTATAAGGGATAACTATTTGGTTTATATGCTTACAAGACTTTTCAGTCCAGAGAGCTAGAATATACATAGTAGGGCTTTTATTATACATTTCTTCATTATTTGAATAAATAGAATCTTTCAATATTGACATTCTTTCCGTTTGTGCTAGTTTTAGTACTATAAATCAAATCCTACCAGCTGACGTTTTAATTCTACTTGAATTTGCTTTTGTGCAGGACTTCAGAAATTACCAGTATACCTTGCCAGTAGTTCAAGGTTTGGTGGTTGATATGGAAGTTCGGAAAACAAGCATCAAAATTCCTAGTAACAGATACAATGAGGTAAGATTTAGCATGAAGGCATATTTTTCATTGCTGGTAAACATGAATGAAAGTGAAAATTATGTAATTACTTTAAATTTTACTTTTAATTGACAGTGAAATCAGTTCATAATATTTTATAGCTTACTTTAGTTATGGGAAACTTCATTACACAAAGGCAGTACATTAAATTCATGGCTTATTTAGTCATTGATTATGTTGTTTGACTTTTGATGCTACATATGATAATCAGTGATATATTTGTATTTTGATAAAAAAATTAGAAACTGTTAGTGTTTTT